GGGTCGTCAAAAATGTTTGAGTATTAGGGACTGAAAGTATCACTCGTTGAAGACTGTTGCCAAACACAAGAAGAGCTCGTAGAACATTTGTGAGTTACTCAAGCAGCCGTTTCAAAACGTTTAAAAGCAACCGGGTACATTCAAAAGCAAGTAAATTTGGTACCAAATTGAAGTTAAACGACGTTGCAAGGCAATTTCGCGTGTCCGAAATGCAAAATAGACATTTTAGTGTCGAATTTTGACATGTGATGAATAAAGGATCAATTACGATAACCTCAAATGGAAAAATATACATATGGAACCTGGTCAACCGGCCAAATTAATGGCAATCTCGAATATCTATGACGTCAATATGCTGTGTGTTTGGTCGGATTAAAAAGCTGTACTTTAATATTCTTCAAATGGCTTCTTATATCAGATGTAACCATTAATGGCGAACGCTACATACAACAACTCATCAACATGAGACAAGCGATTGCTTAAAAAATGCCCAAAATTATCCACTTTCCACGAGACAAAAATTTTCCATCATAACAACGCTAGGTTTAAAAACTATTTGGAACTCAGCTTATAGCCCAGATCAATTTTCGCCTAAACAAATAGGAGAACAAAAGTACGGAGAAATATGCCTGCCTCAAAGAAACCATATAAATCTATATTATAGACCATTTTGTTCATTAAAAAAAAAATTAAATATAGAAATCCTTGATTTGATGAATCGATTGGTACTCTTAACAGGAAGAAAACGCTTTTGGCACCAAAAGGCAAAAAATAAGTATCAATACATGTCTAAATTGTTATAAAATTTTTTAGCGTTTATCGAACTTAAGAATTCGGAAATTTTTAATTTATGGTTTAAATTTATCTGTTACAATTGATCTTATGTGAGTAATCTGCGTCGAGCGGCGGCACTTGAATTGTACTTGTTAAAGTGTAGTGTACCATGGTACGAATATACATAAATGATACAAAAGTATATAAAGCTTTATGCGACGTATATATATTTTATGAACTTATTGGTATAAAATTTTAAGCAATTTTAGGTAGGCTCCATCGGCAAAAATATTCTGGGATTTGTAGAATTTGTTTGTCGATGGATTGACTTCTGGCGAAGTCTTTTTTCGTATCGAATTGGGTTTTTTTAGGTAGGCTCCATCGGCAAAAATATTCTGGGATTTGTAGAATTTGTTTGTCGATGGATTGACTTCTGGCGAAGACTTTTTCGTATCGAATTGGGTTCGCTTTATTTATGTGTTTTTTTTTCTAGTACAAATGTATAATTATAGTTCTTATTCAATTTAGAAAAACATATCGTTGAATTGAATGTCTATACAGAGTAATATAACTTCAGGAGCAATAAAAATTATTTATAATACTCGTGAAGCAGCTTAGCAACTGCTGATAAGCCAGCATATGCCAGTAGTGCTCAGCTAGTGTTGCCACTTATACTAATTTCTTAAAATATTTTTTCTAAAATATTTAATTATGTCGCCAAAACGAACTCCCATATATCAGCGAGGGAGTTGTGGGTCCAGCTTCAAACTTCCTTACTATTTTAGTGTTTTACAAACCGAGATTGCAGCCATTATGGTAGCTGTAGTTCTGCTGCTCCAGAATGCAGCCACCTTCAGAGAAGTGATCATCCACTCAGATAGCAGAGCGGCGTTATTAGCCTTAAACTCATTTGCTGTGCGTTCAGGGTTGGTTAAGGAGTGCCTAACCACGCTATCAATAGCATCGAGTGTCTTTGTGATAAGATGGAAACTTCCTTCTTGACTGTATCGCGTTTGGAAGGTCAAGACTTAAAAGCTAGGGATACCTACGCATACCTCCAGACATCCCACCGAACTGGCAGGAATGGAAATTAAACGCCTGTGCAAATTTATATTGGCTACCAAGCGTTTTGCTAATTTATAAGTTCGAACACAAGAGTTTTTGATGTGAATCATCTAACCTAACTTAACTTAACGTCCTTAACTAAAATTGATTGGCTTTGAATTACAATGCGTTGTTTAGTGTATATACAGAGGAGGAAAGTTAGGCATGCTTTGTTTTATCTTTTCAATGTAACAGTGTTGTTAGCTAAGTAATTATGAAAATTATCTATCACTTACTCGTATTGTTGAAATTCAAGCCAAGAGCTGTTATATTTTTATCAATTTTGAGATCAATCCCTGTACACTCTCCAAAATTGTCAGAAGGGCTCTCAATTCTCCCTAAGTGGCAACACTGATAGTCACCCTCAGGTCTTACACGTACACACACACATCCATTTATACAATGACATACTTAAGTAAAGCCTATTACGTATGCATTCTCCTAAGAGTACTCACACATCCGCTAAGTGCATATGCAAACAAACCCACATACACCAACACACAGATACTTTTCTTGTTCTTTTAAGAACAATGCTCTAAAATGTGTGCTAATTATACAATTTAGGAGCATGCAAATTTGTTTGTTGCTTTTTTATGGGTTAAATGATATGAAAGTGCAAAATGAGGCCAAATTTATAAATGAGAAAATAATTAGCGCTTAAAAAAGTTATCAAAGTGTAAGGGAAAATGTAACAACAAATATATTATAAAAAATAATGTGATGTTGGAAACTAAAAATTAAAATAAATATATTAAATT